TCGCGCAACCACGTGACATACACGGTTATGAATAGAATTACCGCACGGTGTTGTAGAGGGAGGAATGTCCGAACGGAGCAACACCGTGCAGGCGGACGATGTGAAACTTGGCACATAGATTGTTCTGAACTAATGCGCAGATTTGATTAGTTTCGGGTAAAAATCTGTGTTTTGACATTTTAACTTTAAAATATGTTCGATGCAGTAGTAAAATCAATTCTCCTATACTGCACAACATATATGGAAATATGGTCTAGTGATATTATTGCAAAACAAAAGAGCTTTGAAATTTGAGAACATTTAATGGGAAAAACTCCATACCAAATTTAGCAAGTTGTTATTAAAGATAAACAGCAAACAGTGCGAATAAGCAAATAACACCGATTAAACGGCAAGGTAAAGACTATGTCTAATTATAGTAAATACGTACTGCGTGCGTGACTCGAACAGGCGCTCGCGTACGGCACCATTTGCCGCATTCTGGCCATGCTGTGTGGCGCGTATCGCGTGGACGGGTTTCATGTTCTCTGCACGTAATAAGCTCGGTTATTAGGCATAGCTGACAAACTTGATCTCGGCCATATCATCTTTGGTATTTCTATCGATCTCAAAAAAGCCTTTGACACCATTAATCATGAAATACTGTGCTGGTTTGAAAACTACTATTGTAATCGCCAACAATTTGTATGTATTGAAAACACTTCATCTTTGCCACGACCTATTACCTGCGGGGTTCCGCAGGCCTAATTTTATTTTTAATATATATTAATGATATAGCCAATTCTAGCAATTCCTTTCATTTTCGACTCTTTGCAGATGATACTAACCTATTTAAATTCATTCAAAACAATAAAATCAATTTCTCAAATGGTTCGTGAATGGTGCAGTGCTAACAAACTTACTATTAATCCTGAAAAAAACAAATTACATGATAATTAAAACACCACAACGATCGGTCACTACTGAGGGCAGCCAGGAAATTAACGGGTCATCGATAGAGAGCGTATATGTCGTCAATTATCTGGGCGTCTCTGTTGACCAGAATATGTCATGGAAAGCTCACATTGCTAAAATTTACAAAGATATCGCACCAAAAATTGGATTAATTTCACAAGTACGTCATTTTGTAACGAGACATATCCTTATTCTTTTATACAACATCTTAATTCTACCACACATTACATATTGCCTGGTAATACATATGCTACTATACTTCAACCAATATATCTCTTACAGAATAAAATAGTACGCCTAATCACTTTTTCGTATTCCCATGCTGCTCCTCTTTCCAAAAACTAAGAATACTAGACATTTTTCACTCTGCAAGTTACAAACCTGTTTATTTGTTGTGTTGATCTCAGCAAAAATATTTTGTACATGATATTTACAACTATTTAGATCCATTGTCCCATAATTATCCAACCCACTTAGCCTGTAGCTTGAACTAGTATACCCCATAACTGAATCTTACACTCAACCAACACAGTCTTAAATACTCTGCAACAAAACAGTGGAACTCGTTGCCTGATGCATTTAAAACCATCACTCAGAGACACATATTTAAAGCAAAGTTAAAAAACTATCTCTTAAAAATATGATTTGTAATATTTTTTCTCTTTCTTTCCTTATTTGGAGATTTGTGTGATTAAACTATGAAATTATATATACAGGGATTACGGACTTGACTAGTTCTGATAAACTATTTCTGTAATCCCCACCAAAAAAGAAAAGTTATCTAAGTAGAATTCGTTATTTATTTATTTATTTATATGTATGTATTTACTACCTATGCAATTTCTACATTTACCGTTGTTTTTTGTTTTGTTTTTGGTGGAATAAATTTCATTCATTCAATAAGTGCCCGCCGTTTACAGATCGAATCAGGCAGATACAACAACATATCCGTATCTAATAGAAAATACCCTGTTTGTAATCTTGAAGAAATTGAAGACGAGAAACATTTCCAGTTCACGTGCCAGCTATATGATAAAGAAAGAACCAGCCTTTTTATTAAACATAAAATGCATGGTGAAACAATAAACAATCACAAAATTAAAGACATTTCAAAACACATTTATACTTGTTTTATGCTTAGAGAGCAATAATTTCAGTAACAGCTGCCTCAAAAACACAAATTTACATTCCAGATATGTATTTATTTCATTCATTCACAGTGATATCATTTCCTTTTATTACATCAGATGTTTTCCTTTATAAACTGCAGATCAATAAGAAACAAAACATTATAGATTCCCGATTGTGTTACCAAAAACCACCTTAATATTATAGGTTTGCTGACTGAAAATTGACTAACAGATATTCAACGTGTTATTGAGCCAACCAACATGGACATATTCGCGATCTGGTTATCTCACGTGCATCAGATACCACTGTAGAAGAAATCCAAGTTGTGGACGCCCTTATCTCCGAACTCTGCGCAATATGTTGAAGATCCCAATTAAAAAAATACAAACGCCAAAGAAAAATGTCTTAAATAACGATTAAATACATTCATATTAAGAATTTACT